GTTAGGGGGCTGCGCCACAACATTATTATTGTTATTATTTTTTTTTACTATTTCTCTACTGCTGCTGCAGCAGCTTTGCCAACTCAAGATTTCCCCCTGGCTAGGGGGCTTTGTGACTGTGGCAGTAGGGTGGCTGATCAAGATCTCAGCCAACCCTAGATCATCATCATCATCCATCAGGGTATGCTCACACAGCACACCCTGGATCTGCAGTGTTGCGACGAGGGGATGATCAAGATCTCAGCCCCCCCCCTCCATCCTCCAGTTGGCTGGCTGCAGCGAAGGCCAAGACTCTCCTGGTCTTGGTATACCTTGTGCCCTTGGAGACACCAAGGGCCAGGTATCATCTCTCCCCTTTTCTTTCCTCCACCCTCCACTGCCTCTTTCTCCTCCTCTTTTCACCTTCCCCACCCCACCTTTTCTCCCACTAACCACTACCTTACCCTCTTTTCTTCATTTCTTTTATTTTCCCTCCTCCTTTTATTCTCCTTCCTTCTTGATCTCTCTCCACCTTTTCCCATCCCTCCTCTCCCCCAACTGCCACCACATCATCCCCCCACCTTCCACTTCCATCTTTTTCCCTCTCCTACCTATTTCTTTCTTCTCTCCATCACTTTCTCACCCCCCCTTCCTCCCCCTACTTCAAATATTTCTGTTTTTCTTTTTTCTATCTTCCTTTTGATTTATATTTTCTCCTTTTTCCAAAAATTTGAATCATCTTCTTCCCCACCCTCTTTTCTGATTTTCTGATTTATTCCATTTTCTTTTCTTTATTCTGAAAATTCGATTTTCTTTGCGGCAACCTTCAATCTGATTAGGTGTTAGTCTTTACTACTTTCGGTACACGTTTTGACCCCGCGGGGGTAACGAAGTGCTGCCGAAATTTTCTGTTTTTTTTTTTTACACTTAGTCTTTTCGGCATACTTCGACTCCGTGGGGGTAACGAAATGCTGCCGAAATTTTTAACAAATCAGATACTTCATTTCTCCCCACCTCCTCATCCCCTTATTTACTTATTTATTTATTTAGTTATTTATTTATTTATTATTTTTTTATTTATTTTCTGAAATTTCTTCTTTTTGTTTGCGGCATCTTGAAACTTAGTGTGCTCACCTTGGTCCCTTTCCCCTTGGCACATTCTTGACCCCAGAGGGGGTAAGGAAATGCTGCCAAAAATTTCAAAAAAATAAATATTGTTTCTTCTCTTCATATCTTTTTACTTATTTTTTTAACTATTTTAATTATTTATTTATTTATTTATTTATTTTTATTTTTTTTCAAAACCTCGCTATTTATTTTTTAATTTTTTATTTGTTTTCTCCCGCCTTTCCTCCCCTATGCTTGCTATTTTATTTTCTTGATTAGGTCACCGACACCGTACCCTAACCACTCAAACTCCAGTTAGAGTTTTCTTAGGGTTTTTCTAGGGTTTAGGGTACTTCAAACCCCACCTTACTCCCCCTTCCTATTCGGGCACCCTCGACCCGAACCACCCCTCCCCCTTGGACGGCGTCCGCGCCAGCCTTGCTAGCGTTGTCCGCCGCTTTCTACCGCGGACTTCCCCCTACGCCCTCCGCTCACGCGGACCTCCGTTGGCCCCCTCCAGTCCGCCGCCGCGTCGCTTGTGCGTCCACTTCCGCCGACGGCGATGACTAGGGCACATGGCTCCACGCCCGTGCCGACGGACCAGGGCCACCAGCCCCAGGGGGATCTGCACACCCTCCTCACTTCCCTCCTTGCGCCCATCCAGGCGCAACTCACGACCCTCGCACCCTTATAGGCGCAGGTGGCGACCCTTGCCGCCAACATGCAGCAACTTCAGTACGCTGCGTGTCCTTCATCTCCTGGCTCCCAGTCCGGGTCCCCCGTCCTCTGACAGGGGAGCCACGGCGGAGCTTCCTCCTCCGCTGCCCCCGACTCGACCATCTTGACGACTGTCCACGCTCCTAACACGACGCCCGCCACGAGCCAGGCCCTCCCTCAGTCTACGAGCGCACCCGCCCAAATTCCGGTCACTACGACCACGGTACCACAACCCGCTACCATGGTCGCAGCTTTTCCGGGTGCCCCGCTTCTCCCTTCCCTTCGCACGACCGCAGCGCCACCTGACTCTCCCCCCTCTAGGATGCCCCGCGCCGCTTGTGCATCCTCTTCCTCCACTCTTCCTCCTGCCACTCCTCGCTCGACCTACATTCGAGGTCTCCCGGACGAGATTGCCGAACTCCGGGCCGACCTCGCCCTCTTACGACTTCAGCCACCCCACCCTCACAGGTGGCCGCGCCTTCGAGCGCACCCCCTACCTCCTCTACTCTTCCTCCCATGCAGGCTCGCTTCCCGCGCCCTGCACCCTATCCAGCCCCATCCTACCTTCTTCCTACTCCCGCGGTTGCTGCGACCTCTTCTATTGCTGCTCCCTCGCAGCCTGGCGCAGTTGCCCCCGCCGCTCCCCCATGCGGCCCGGGCGCATAGTCAGCTGCACCCCTCTCTCCAGGACCTGCGCCGACTTACTCAGCCGTGGCACAGGCCTCTGCTCCTCGATCCCCTCGCCGCCAAAACGGTGGCGCACCATTCATCTGCTTGTCGGACATTGCCCTGTATGACGGTACAGGCATACGCGTGTCTAGGTGGTTGCAGTCTGCCACCCGCACGCTCTAGCTCATGGGCGCCACACCCGACACGTGGGTGAGTCACCTCTCCACGCGCCTACGTGGCGGTCCTTTCGAGGCCTGGGAGGATTTCTACGAGTACTCCCTTCGTGAGGGTGAGACCCCGACCTTCATGGATTTCCAGGCGTTCCTCGAGTATCGCTTCGGAGCCCGATACGACGTGACTGATGCCTTCGAGCGTATCATCACTAAACGTTGGTCCGACTCTGGTGGCGCTGCCGCTCTGGATTGCCACATCCAGGTCTTTCAGGACACCCACCTCATTTGTGATGTGGCGTTCCTCCCCGAGGCTGCCCTTATCGATCGTTTCTTGGCCAGCCTCTCGCTCGAGTACCGCTCCGAGTTATGGCGATACGAGTTCACATCGGCCCCGCAGGCTTACGAGGCCGCCAGGGACCATGAGCGGGTGCGGGCCCGTCTTCACCCCGCCTCCTCCTCCCAGCCCCAGCGTACTGGTTACGCCTCCTCCTCCTCTCACGGCACTTCCCAGCGCCGTTCACCTTTCCGTGGTCGCCCCCACCGTTCCGGGCAGCAGGGCCGCCAGTTCTCGCGCCGCTTCAACGCGCTCGAGTATGGTGAGCAGGACGCTGGTGCCCCGCTGTCGCCAAAGGGTGACCATAGCGACGACCTCGACCTCGACGAGGCTGTCCACCACCACCTAGAGGCCCCTACTCTCCCTATGGCTGATCACCTCCAGCTCATCCTCTCCACCCTTTCCCGGGCACGCAGCCGCCCTGGTCACGTTGGCGCGTCGCCCCCCGAGGTCCCTCAGCAGGACCTCCCTCAGGGCTTTGTCCCTCCTCGCGGTGTCCTTTCCGTTAAGGAGCATGCGGCTATTCTGGGCCGGCGTGGGTGTTTGCGATGCCGTCAGGACGGTCATACCTCCTCGCGGTGCCCTTACACCATCGCCCTTGACCGCCACTACACTGACCTTTCTCGCCAGCGTCGTGCTCAGTCCCCCCCCGGCGCCTCCTAGCCACGGTGCAGTGTACACCTGCGCCCTCCTCAGTAGTGGGCTTCCCGACATCTCGATCGCGGTTCGCCCCTCTTGCTACTGGAGCTGAGGTATCGCAGAACTCGACAGAGTGTACTCAGCCCTCTGTCGCAGTACCGTTTGCGCCTCTGCACACCACCGTCTCCACTCCTTCCCCGCCGCGACTACCGACGCGTCGAGCCATTCGCTCAACCTGTTGTCGCGAGCAACTCGCTACTCGCGAGGACGTTGTGTCCTCTTTTCTGAACTTGAGCATGCTCCAGGCTCGTCAGAAGCGACTCACCCTCCATGTCGCTGCCTTGTGTCGCCTTCTCACCATCCTCTCTGACCCTGATCGCACCCTCCCGATCATTCCAGTAGGACTGGGGACCTCCACGAGGGTGTACTCAGCACTGTGGGATGCCGATTCTCAGGGCGACTTCATTCACCCACGTGTAGTGAAAGAAACCCGCTTACCCACGACCGGGTCTCCGACTCCCATCTCTGTCACCCTAGGGGATGACAAGGCCCAACGCTTCTTTGATCAGACGGTCACCGACCTCCCTTTCTTCCTCTCTCTCGAGACGACTGATCGTACCCCGGCGTCTCGTCGCCACCACTCCTCCGCACATTTCGATGTGATGGAGACGGGGTACGACTTCATTCTCGGCACTTCGTGGTCTCGTTGGTTCCACAACACTGAGGCCGATTGGGCGACCAACACTCTCGTTCTCAAAACGAAGTGTGGACAGACGTATCGCGTACCTTTCATAGGTACCACCGCGACACCATGCCCCGATCCTCCTCCCCCGGAGCCTTCCGTGCCCACACCATCTCCTTCTATCACTGTCACCTCGCCTCGGCAGTTCGCTCACTTCATCCGACAGGACGACGTCACCTTCTTTATGGTGAACGTGACGGATCTCTTACACTATGATCCACCCTGTCCCGACGTCGAGCTCATCCCTCTGGAGCCAGATCCTCCTTCGATCTCCATGGTTCCCATCTCTACGTCCCACCCTCCGCCGTCCGTCGAGTCCACCTCGCCGTCGCGCGCTGACGCTGATGCTGCGAAACTCGCACGTTATACGGCTGACATGGAGCCCGCAGTTCGTGACCTCATCCAAGAATACCACGACATTTTCCCATCGTCGTTCTCGTACGCCGGCATCCCACTGATGCGTGACGTCCAGCACTCCATCCAGCTTGTGCCTGACGATCGTGTTCACCACGAGGCACCCTACAGACTCTCGATCCCCGAGGCCACCGAACTCAAGCGTCAGCTTGAGGAACTCCTGAGACGGGGTTTTATTAAACCCATCAACTTCCCGTGGGGTGCACCCGTCCTCTTTGCTCGCAAAGCGGATGAAACTCTCCGTCTCTGCATCTACTATCGTGGTCTCAACCGCTACACGGTTAAGAATAGCTACCTCATGCCTCATTCCGACGAGCTGTTCGACCGCCTAGCAGGCAACCGCTTCTTTACGAAGATTGATCTTCGTCTCGGTTACTATCAGATCCACGTCGCTGCAGCCGACCAGCCGAAGACCGCGTTCCGATCGCGCTTCGGCCACTATGAGTTTACAGTGATGCCATTCGGCCTCACCAAAGCACCCGCCACCTTCCAGAGGGCGATGAACGATATCTTCAGGGACATCCTGGAGCAGTACGTTCTCGTCTACCTCGACGATATTTTGGTCTACAGTCATACCCTTGAGGAGCACCTCAAACACCTCCACGACGTCCTTGACCGCTTGCGAAGACATGGTTTCTACGCCAAGCTGAGCAAGTGTCGCTTTGCCCAGCACAAAGTGGATTTCTTAGGACACTACGTGTCTGACCAGGGTCTCCACATGGACGACGCGAAGATCGCTGCTTTTGAGGAGTGGCCCACTCCCACATCCGCCAAGCAGCTTCGCAGCTTCCTAGGCCTGACCAGCTACTATAGTAATTTCATTCGGGGATACGCTAGGTATTCCTACGTCCTTACCTCCACCCTCTTTCAGAAGAACCCACCCTGGGCTTGGACACCCCTCCACGAGGACGCCTTCCGCCCCCTCAAGAAGGCGGTGACATGCACACCGGTTCTTCACCTACCCGATTTTGATCGCCCTTTTATCCTTACCACCGATGCGTTAGACTTTGCTGTAGGAGCAGTGCTTTCTCATGTCTTCCCCTCCTCTCCTGACTCCTCTCATCCTCGTATCCCTCGCTTCCCACCACCTACCCCTACCACTGGTTCCCGATTGACGCCTACTCGTCCAGCTACTGACGAACGTTCGTTTAACCATTCTCCTACCATCGCCGAGGATGGCACTGTCGAGTCTCACTTAGGTGATTGTCTAATAGCCTTCTACCCCCGTCAACTTCTGCCTGCCGTGATAAACTACAGTGCTGATGAACGTGAGGTTCTTGCTGTAATTTATGTCGCTCGGCACTGGCGTCACTACCTGCACGGGACACCTTTCACGGTGCGCATGGACAACTCAGTTGTCCAGGCTTTTCTGACAAATCCAAAACTCAGTCGTCGACAGGCTTGCTGGTGGCGTGACCTATCCGAGTTTAGTTTTACCACTGACCACATCAAGGGTGAGACTAATCGGGTCGCAGATGCCTTATCCTGGCGCCATGACCATGACCAGGAGCAGATCCAACTCTCTTCCATCTCGGTCACCACTGTCCACCACTCGCTGATCGACGAGTTTCATACTCAGTACCACCACTGCCCCGACTATCGCGACATTCACGCGACCCTTCGGAGTGGCAAAACCGTCCCGAACTACTCTCTCGGGGACAGCGGTCTTGTGTAGTGGCACGGTTCACAAGGCACTAGAGAGCCCCGTATTTGCGTTTCCTCCACTGGACAGCTACGTGTCCGAGCAGTAAAAGAGTTCCATGACCAGGCAGCCGCCGGTCATATGGGCTTCCACAAGACGTTGACTCGTGTGAGCCGCCTGTATGTCTGGCCGAAGCGCAAGGACTTTGTGAAGGACTACGTCGCAGAGTGTCCCACCTGTCAGGAGGTGAACAGTGCGAACCACTTGCCTTATGGTTTGCTCCAGCCTCTTCCTATCCCTGAGGGTCATTGGCAGTCCATCTCGATGGACTTTATCGGTCCTCTTCGTCCTCCGACCCCCCGCGGTCATGATGCTATCCTGGTCGTCGTCGACCGCTTCACGAAGCACGCACGCTTTGTTCCGTGCCGCTATGCCATCAGTGCACGTGAGGTCGCCGGCATCGTGTTTGACCGAGTCGTACGTGACCACGGCTTAGCATTAAGCATCATATCTGACTGTGACCCGGACTTTACCATCCGATTCTGGCGACGGCTCCACGAGGTGTACGGCAGTCAGCTCCGCTTCTCCTCGTCATACCATCCTCAGACTGATGGTCAGACCGAGATCACAAACAAAACTCTCGGGGATATTCTTCGAAAGATTGTTCGTGATGACCAGCAATGGGATCTCCATCTTGCCCACGCGGAGATAGCCTACAACCACGCCGTCTCGCCAGCCACGGGGATGTCGCCTTACTATTGCGACCTCGGCTATCACCCTCGTGTTTCCGCGGACTTCCTCCGACCGTCACAGATGCACCCCGATACGAGTTGTCCCGCGCTGGATGATTGGGTTGCACACATGACATTGATCATGAAGACCGCACATGAGCACAAAGCCGCTTCCCAGACTCGCATGGCAGCACGTGCGAACCAATCGAGGATGGATCATCCATTCAAAGTCGGTGATGATGTGCTTATGGACGCCCGCCACTTACAGCTCGAAGCAGACACGCTTCGCAAGTTTCGGCGTCGCTTCTTTGGCCCATGCCACATCCTCCAGGCCGTCGGTTCTAACACGGCATCTAGCCCGGTCAGCTTCCGTGTGAAGCTGCCCGACTACCTACACCAGACTCGTGTGCACGATGTTTACCACGTCTCGTTACTGTGTCCTTAGCACAGACCGTCTGAGCGTTTCGCTGGACGACCATACGAGCACCCTCCAACCATCATGGCGGACGGCCACGAGGAGTTCCTCGTTTCAGACATCATTGGTCATCGAGTCACCGATGACAACCCTCCCCACGTCGAGTATCTCGTACGTTGGAAGGGTTACCCTGATGAGGAGGCTACCTGGGAGCCCCTCGAGCACTTGCAGCACGCTCGCATGTTGGTGCGTGCCTTTATCGTGCTCGTCGTGCTGGGTTCACTGCTCCTCCTCGGCCCACCGACCCTCCTCCTTCTCCCCCGGCTGAAGAGACCGCTGAAGTCGAGCCTACTCCATCTTTGGCAGACCTTCAGCAGCAGCCAGATGCTTCAGAGCGTCCACAACGCACTCGTCGTCGTCCTGCTCGATACGACGATTGACTCTGACTTACCTTCCCACGTCTTTGACTTCTCAGTACTCCATCCACTCCAGTTTTGCTACTTCGGCTCGTCGACGTTGCGGCTCTTCCTCGACGGCATTCCGAACTTCTCATCGTGGACGTCATCGGCAACTTCATGGACTTCGTCACGATCAGCTCTGCCCACTTCAGACGTCACCACTCTCTTACCACTTTACCCTGTACAGTACCCTGCTTGTGTCGCATGATGGTCTCCCTTTAGCCGGGTTCCTCTAAGTTGGGCTCTCCCTTGGTATACGCATAGGCATTGGGACCATAGCGTTGCCCTGGCTTCCCATCTTACGGATCTAGCTCCGACTTCCCCACCTTAGGAGTCATTTGCATGATTCCCTTACCCATCACCTTTCTACCCTGTGCCGGCCCTCACGCCCTAGTTAGGTAGCCCCGCATGCTTCATCTAGGTGCGCCCAGTATACCAGGCTCCCTTGTTCCCTTGCATGGTCGACCCTCCATAGCGGTCACCCCTTTAGTCGAGCATTACCCGCCCTGATGGTCTATCAGTTAGGGTCATTGGTTTTGTTCGCTCCTAGTTCCCTTCCCTCATTGAGTCTGATGACATGTGTTCTCCCTGTCACTATGTGTGGATGCCCTTATGAGTTTCCAACCCCTAAGCTGCATTCGCCACCCTCAGAGACCATCCCAGCTTTTGGTTTGCGACACACTTCTCCTGTGACATATGGTTGTCTTGTTGTTGCTTGTTGCTCTCAGACTGAGGCTACTGCCTTTGACATTTTTAGGATTCAGTTGTCTTGCTTTTGTTGTTCTTAGGACTTATACACTAGTCAATTGTTCCCAGACTGAGGCTACTGCCTCCAACATTCTAAGATCTAGTTGTCACTACTTTCTGCTTTCCTAGGACATGCATACTAGTTAGTTGCTTCTGCTTTCCTAGGACATGTATGCTTTCTGCTTTTACTTAGGCTGTTAGCTGTGACATTGTTGTTTGTGACATTTTCTAGCCTAGGTTGCATCACATGGACTCAGCATGGAGCTTGCTACGCATCCTAGACTACTCAGGTTTTCTTTTCTTTGGTAGAGTTCCGCTTCTTGGCGGAGGCATGTTTGTATCTAGGCGATCCATCACAGGCTGAGGATCGTGTAGCGGACCTCTGGTTGGCCTGTGAGACCAGCCCCTTGGCCTGTTCTCACAGGCCTGTGTTCTATTCGGGGCAGTCCAGTCCAGGCCGGTACCTCTGTCGGTACCAGCCAGTCCAGTCCAGTCCCGTCAGTCCGCTGGGGTATACCCCAGCAGTTGTCTGTTTTCATCATCATTCTTCACTTGCACATTTTGGAGTACGTGCGTTGGAGTCTTGGGTGGGGAGTTGCGCTGTGCATCTTGCTCCCCCCTTCTTCCTCCATCTCCATCTCTATCACTAGCGGAGCGCCACACCTGGTGGGTCTGCTACAACCTACCACACTGTTATACCGCATCAAACGCGGGGACGCAGCCATTCGGGTGGCATGCTTTATGTTCTAGACAGTAAGCTTGACAAAGGTCTTATGCGGCGGGGGATGGGCAGCCTTCTGGATGGTAATCTCCAAAGCCAACACTCTCCCACACACCACACGCAACCCTCTCACACGCGCACTCATACCCGTGTTGGCTGAAGACCTTACTGATGCGGACTGGGGGGATCCAGCTCACTGTCTCAGTTTGATGGCACCAAGAGTGCCACAGGCGCACGTAGGGATTGAACTCACAACCTCCTCAAAGCCACTTGCGTGCCTAACCAATTGAGCTAGGACGCTGGATGGAGCCCAGATTCTTCTATTGCAGGAGAAAAAAAAAAACAAAAAAAAAAACTGGCCTAGCTCAATTGGTAAGGCACGCAAGTGGCATTCAGGAGGTCTTGGGTTCAATCCCCGTTGGCCTCATGTACCCTTCTGGGCAAGCTTGGCGCCCGCCACCTAGAGATATGCCATTGGTCCCCCTGAGTGGCATTGAGGAGAGACTGCTGGTGTTCATAGGGGGAGGAGACGGGAGGGGAGGCTCAGTGACTGGCCCATCGAAGAAGCTCGGTCCTGATGCTGCCGGCTGACCCCTGGCCGGTATCGCCCACCTGCTATAGCAGGTATCGCACCTGGTGGTGGGTGCAGCTCCCGCATGTTCCCTCGTTGGACGCTTGAGCACGGATGTGGCTGCTGCGGGGTTCCCCGTAATACTATAATGACAATAAAAAAGGCCTGAAAGGCCGTCCTGTCCAGATTTGGCAGGTAATTGAATTGGGCTTACTTTCACTTTGGAATGGTACCACCCTTTTAAGGCCTGCTATGCAGTAACGTGGCGACATTTTCTGCCTTGGTATGTTTTTTTAGCATTTGGCGGCTGCATTTCCCATGTCTTACGACCCGGTTGGTTTTATGACTCGGTTCAGGATCCTTTATCGGACCGATTTATCGATATCTTTCCATTTTTGCTATCTGCCCGAATCTTGGCATGTTTCAAACCAGGCCGTTGGGATCTGCTCATTCCGATTTTTGTGCGCATGAATCTGTTCGGCTTCTGGTAGTGCGGGACTGTGCATGCCTAGCACGGGGTGTGCACACTTGACATGGGACAGTTTTTTTATATTCGCATAAATCTGGTCGTCTTCCGGCTTTAAGTGACTGTGCATTCCTTGGGGCCCGTAAGGGCACCGAGGGACTGAGCATACCGGGCATGGGACGATTTTTTGGTGCTTTATTGTTCCCTCTTTTTTTTTTTTTCTTTTTTTTTTTTGAAAAGCCCTTCGAAAACCCACTATCTCGGCGGTGGTGAGAGAACCGCCAGGATTGAGGGTTTCCCCGTTGGGCCGCTCCATCTATTGGTGGGGAGCTACACCTGCTGAGAACCGGGCCCAGCGTCCCTTTAGAAACAACATGTGGCACTGAGAGAATCATTTGTACGACAGGGCTGTAACCTTTGTATTCTCTACCCGGGGCATTCCCGTATTTCCCTGGGGCTGTAGCAATCTCCTCACCTCTGTCGGAACACCCATTGTCGTCAATAATATCAGCCCTGATAGGCAGCCCCCCGAAGTAGTAAGTGTAGACAGTTTGCAGAACCTCTTTAAACCTGCTTTACATTTGTGCGACATCTATAGGCAACTTCATCTATCTAAAAGAGCATATACATGTCTGAGGTCGAGGGGAGAGGCTGGTCTATCCAACTCACGTATTGATCTATTTCTTATATCACAAACACTCATTGGGCTGGTTACAGTTGCAGAGATTTAGTCCCTCAGTCCCTGCGCTCTTTCGACCACAAAGGCATAGTCTTGGGCCTATCCTTTCACCACCACCTTTCACGAGGCCCGGGATTTTACAAATTTAATGCCTCGCTTCTTAAACTAACAGACCTCAACATGTTGGGGGAACAATTCTTGTCCTATTGGTCTATGCAAAAAAAGGGGTATTCATCAATAGTGGATTGGTTCAATTTGGGAGTCGCTAAGCTTAGAGAACACATTAAAAAAAAATCCATCCAGCAGGCCAGACTCCAAAAAGCCACTATTGATCAGCTCCTCCACATGCTAGAACAATGAGACCGAAAAATGAGAGACCATCCACTAGACACACCGACATTTGCACAACTGCAAGAGGCAAGGGATCACCTCCAAGCCTACTTGGACCGCCGAGCAAAAACTTTGAGGATTCAAGCCAGGGTGAAAAAAGACCAAACCGAGGGCACTATGGCTAGATCTTTTTTTCTCAAAGTCAAAAGTAGGGCAAGAAACAACATGGTGCCCTCCCTGCGCCACCCCTTTCACCCCCACTTACCTGACGCCACCAATTCATATAGGATAGTGGACTATGCAACACAATACTACCAGCACCTTTTCACGCCAAAGAACACACAATAGGGAGAGGAGGCAATCGTGAATGCTAGAACTATGTTGTTACATAAACTATCGACCCTCCTCTCCCAACGACAGAAGGAGTTGTTAGAAGCGCCCCTTGCATCTCATGAGATCCTCTAAGATTTGTCAGAAATGGAAGAAGAAAAAACTCCGGGTTTGGACGCCTTCCCCAAGGAGTTTTGGCTCCACTTCTGGCCCACGTTGAACAAGGATTTGATAGAATATATCAATGCAGTCCAAACCGAAGGCCGCTTTGGAGATCTTATGAGTCAAGGAGTAACCACACTCCTATACAAGAAAGGTGACAGGACAGAGATTAGGAACTACCGTCTGATTACCCTGTTCCCAGTCCCCTACAAATTGGTGGTTAAACCACTGTGCAACCATCTTCTTCCCAACGTGCCCCACCTTATCCATATGGATCAGACGGGCCTCATGCCCAGGCGGAATATCCAAGACAATATTATGCTCGTCAACGAAACCGTCAGATATGCGAAACAGAGGAGAATCAACACGACTATATTATTTATCGACTTCGAAAAGGCGTATGATCACGTAGACTGACACTTCTTGGACCTCTGCCTGGATAAGATGAACTTTGGGCCCTCATTCAGACAATGGATAAACACTCTGCACCATGGGGCAGCAACCAACATTATGTTGAATGGTCACTTATCACCCCCATTTCCCCTCCACAGATCGCTCAGACAAGAGGACCCAATTGCCCCTTTGTTTTTCGTCATGGTCATGAAGGCCTTAGCTTCACTTATAAGAAAGGATCGCGATTCCAGAACTACCCCCGCACAAAATTTTGGTGACGTCCCTGTTCGCGGGTGACCTCACTGTTCTATTAAAAGCCACATCGGACAGTCTCAGAGCCTTAGCAGAGATCATTCACCTGTTCTCCATCGCAACAGATATGAAGGTGAATTGGGGGGCAAAAATCAAAGGTTGGTGGTTGTGACCAGAGGATGTCCCCCCACCAGACATTCCATAAGTCAATTGGCGTCCAAGGGAGGAGGCAATCAGGATACTTGGGGTGCGCCTCACAGCCATGGGCCCCCCAAAGGACCATGGGGACCAACTAGTCCAAACTGCTATCCAAACCATGGCTAAGTGGAAACGCCTCCACACCTCAATAGTTGGAAGAATTATTGCCATCAATAACATTATTCTGGTCACCATCTGGTATAAAACAGCCTTTTGGGCGCTGCATCCCAAACAACTAACTCATCTCAAGGAGGCGATAGCAGCATACCTGTGGACAAATGACTAGGAACACAGGAAATGCATCAAGGGGTGGCATGGGCCCAAGTAACTCAACCAAGGAGCAAAGGGGGACTTGATATCATTGATCCTCAGGACCAGATCAAAGCTCTCATCTTTAAAATCATCAACAGGTTACTTATGGTAGATGATATCCCATGGGCCCCGCTAGCTCACACTCAAATAACGAAGCTCGCCCCTTCGATGTCAGTGAACAAATCAATCCATCCCCTTTAGTGGTTCACGAACCCGGCCTGGTCCATCCCAACAGTCCCAAGGAGGGGAGCACACCACTCTAATACGAATGTTGCAAAGATGGACTTGGCAAATGACCCTTTGTGGACCTCGCTCCTGACCTTGTGGAGAGACATAGAACCAAATAAACTATGCACCCCGATCAAATGGCACGAAGTCTGGAGACAACCTTGGTTCGGGAACCCCCAGCTGCTGAACCAGCAAGGACAACCATTTTCCATCCGACAAGAATCACACTGGTTGTCCTGGGTAGAAAAAGATATTTTTGCAATTAGAGACGTGTGGGACATCAGACTCAACACATGGAAAACCGCAACGCAACTACCGTCCCAGCTTAAAAGTACCAAGAACCGGGAGGAAAAACTGCAGCAATTCTATGACGTTGTTCCCTTAGCCTGGCTGCGCATCCTCAAATAGGGCCCATCCCTCCACAAAGGAGACTGGGTGGTCCGAACCGAATCAAGTCACATCCCCATGACAATCTACAAGGTCCAAACCCGCACGGCAACACAAACTCAGCTCCAGGCCTACACACCGGCATTGCCAGGCGTCAGATTCACCCGCTTGACAAGGTCCCCGGACCTAGATGAGGACAAGCCATGGTCGAGACTTATCCGAATCCGGGTTCTAGGGGACAACAAAGATGGTTGGTGGGCCTATGAATCATCTACTCCCATGTGCCAGCTGCCTTTTGATCCCGCAGAATGGCAATGGGATGGAAACAAACCCCTGCCATTTTGGAAATATACGGTCAAAGACTGTTATAGAAAAATACACAAGGCAGTCAACACAACCAACATCATCAAACACAAATGGCAACGGGATACGAGCCTGGACGAAACGGATCTGCAGACTTTTAACCGGTGCACCTATGCCCGCCTCATGCCCACATCTCAACAGGCTCTCCAATGGCAAATCATCTATCGCTGTCGGTCGACGTCGGACTGGGTGGTGTCAAGATCGTTGTTAGAACAAAGAGGGGAGCTATCGCCTATCTGCTCCTACTGTGGGTCCTCCAACTAACAGCAAATAGCAGATCTAGAACATTGTTTCCTCTACTGCCCAATGGCGCGACAAATATGGCAGTGGTGGACGGCCGCATGGCACCACCTTACAACTCTGGAGTTCCCATGGGATCACATGACAATTCTGTTTGGTAGCTTTGTCAAAGTCCCGCCCCTGCAGACCCGTTTCCAACTAAACCTCTCCAAATACACACGGCTGGAAATTTTCATGGTGATATGGTGAGCCCGGTGCTCACACAAACGAAAACAACACACCTTTGGCTTCTTCCAAGCAAAACAACACATTATCGAAACCATAAGGACGAATGTCCAAAGAGTTTGGGAACAATTGAAGAAGGAGATAGCAGAAATAACTGACGCCACACAAAAGTCCCAGCAACTAACCCTATTTCAGGAAATATGGCTGGATCTTGGAAGACGAATCGATGAATTGCACGACGACCAACTCCTGCACTGGAAGCCGTGGTGGCAGGATGAATTCCAGTGGAAACGACGTCCTCTCTCCTTCTTCAGCCGCCCAATACCGGGCCAACCGATCACAGGACTCCACACTATCTGCCAGTCTCCCTCGTAGGGAACAAACGTCACACCATCCCACCGCTCCCCATTTGGATCGCAAGAGGGTTCACAGGCAGTGGCCCGCCCTCCCCCAACCCACTCGCCTCCTCCCCCTCTCCCCCTCCAACCTCGTGCTATGCTTGCCCCTACCCCTTCCCCTCCCCCCCCCTCCCGGACACCCCTCCTTCCCCCACACCCGCACCGCTAAGGCCCCATGTGGTTAAAAAGACTATTGAATGTTGGTGTACACAAACCTCATGACTGCTCTCATGGGACCGGGAGTCTCCCCTTCTCTCTGCATGCAAATAATTATTAACCGTATTCCTGGAACCTAGTGATGCCCACTGAAGTTGACCTGCAATTGACGTAGGCAACATGCCCTCCCATCCCCCTTCCCCCATCCTATTGGGACCTGCTTCAGTGATGTATAATCCCCGCAGGTGTTGTGGTGAGTCGACGATCGTTCCTCGTGTTGCTTCCTTGTGCTCGTTGCCTGGCCAGGACTTCTGTTCAGCGGAGTTGTCGTGATTCCCAGGGGGATGAGGGAGGGGGGGGGGTGCTAAGAGGGGCCATGTCTGGCAGTGCGGGTGGAAGGCGATGGGTGGACTGTGGGCATAGCTGGGGGGGAGAGGGGGGGAAGGTGCCAAGTGGGGTCGTATCTGGTAGCGGAGGTGGGTGGAGGCGGGTGAGTGGTAGGGAAGCCAGGGGGAGGGGAGAGGGGGAAAGGGGAGTAGGATTTAGTCCCCTGTCTGGCAGCGATGTGTGGGAGGGCCGGGGAGTCGGTGGGGAAGGAGGCAGGGTAGGTGGTGATATTGTTGTTGATGGAGCCTGCGCCACTGTTGATATTGATATTGTTGTTGATGAAGCTGACAACGGCGCAGGCGTTGTAGATAGGAATATACTGTTTGATGTTGAATTTTTCGAAGTTGGCACCGCTGTCGTTGTGAATGTTGTCGTGGATGCAGCTATCTGCAGTGCGGTCGTTGTAGATGATGACATAGTGGTTGATGTTGTGACTGTTGTGCATGTGATCGGAGAGAACCTTCCTGGAGAAGATGCAGACAACGCCTCCGTCCATTGTTTGATTATCACTTGCCCCCGCTCACGGCCTTGTTTGAAGAGCTTGAGACAGTCGTTCCAAAGAGGGTTTGCCCGATGCCAATCAACATACTCATCTAGCTCCTGTGGCGGCCCCTCCTCGAATGGCAAGATCACTTCCATCATCTACTGCACCGTTTCCTAAGCCCATCTGGCCCCAGATGTCAACCCCCCAGTAACATCTAGCCCAAGCAGGGGATGGGACGAAAGCAGGGAAGCCATAACCCGGAGTTTCGCTCGCCCTTCCTCCAGCGTAGATAGCCAAGTGTGTGCCGCTCGATGCAGCTCTTCTTCTACTGGCATCTTGCCCTTGGAGTTCCTGTGGCATACCTTCATCAGCAGCTTCACCGTTTCCACAGTAGTTGAATAAGGTCACTCGAACTCACTCTCTCGTGTGTCCACCCGTGATTTCAGTGTCAAACCAACTTACCTTGCTGACAACCTCCACGCCGTAATCCTGCGCAAAGACACTCCAGTGCTGGTGAAGACGAAGCTCATTCGAGCTTCGTTGCCATGATCGCCATCGACGACCACATGGCCTCCCACCATGCTAGTCCCCGCCTCGGCAGCGCTGAGCCCCCTGGAGCAGATGCCCATCGAGCCCGTCGGGCAGGAGTGCTCCATGCGTTCGCGCCTTCCGCGCTTGTCTGTTTCTTTTTAGACAATTAGAACGTTTCGGTGTCTGTAAGAGTCCTATTATCTTCTTCCTGTGGGTTTTCGTCCCATAGGTGTTTGCAGGTAGTCCACCTGTCCTTATCAGAGAACTTCACCCATTTTCCTGGCCGCGTGTGGGGTGGTACAGATCTCAGTAACTTGCTATTCGTTTTTTTCTTTTTTTTAAGGCTTTTTTTTTTTTTTCTTTTTTAAGCCCAACCAATTGAATTGAAGGAACTGACCAGCAAAATCAGTTACAGCATGAGAATAGTATAGCAAAATACACCAATGAAAGCCAACTATTGCGCACGCTTCAATTGAGCAAAATCAAACCATAGGAATCGATTAAAAGATGCACCGAGAATAACAGGATCGATCCAGTAGCAGCGAGTGTCCAACTCGCACCACAGAACACGCGGCCTCTCCCAATGTGTTTCGCCTACCCCGCACGTAGTCTCATCAAGAGGATCCTTTCCTACAAACCCAATCGCTCAAAGCATGGAGGTTAATCCTACAGCCTACCTCCTTATATAGTACAGCATCCAACTCCTACCTTCGGCCAAGCGTCAATACAAGCAATCCTCTGCCACAAAGGAATGGATAAATGAAAATCAACCCGGAGACCCCGAGAGTGATGACTAAGCCACAGTGATCTCGATCGTCCATGGAGCACGTTCGATCCCAAATCCACGGTCGGCCCCATATCTTCGTAGACGTGCACACATGGAAGCACGAGAACACAAGACAGTATAGTTCCCAACACACGAAGGAGAAGTTAAGCATGTCGTTGCACAGCGAAGCACTGCAATCGCAATGACCCCTTTGCAGGCGCCGTCACCACTGCAGCTGGAGATGCCAGCAACCGTCGAGCAGACGATCGACAAATCAACGAGGTCGTGTATCCGCTCAGAGGGGAATGAGGTATCCTTTGATCTCATTCCAGATTGCATCCCGTTCCGGCTGATTAGCGATCATCAAGCTGTTGAGATTAAGAGAGCGGATATGCAGGTCCGCTTGGGACAGTTTTTTGGCCCAAGGCGGAGGTTTTCATGGGGGGGGGGGGGGGGGGGGGGGGGGGGGGGGGGGGGGGGGGGGGGGGGGGGGGGGGCTCGGGTAGGGCCCCTGGGGGGGATGGGGGGTGGGAGGGTGGTTTGTGAAGGTCTGAGAGTGTAATGCTTGTGGTGACTGGCTCTGCGTCGCCGTTTGTAATGTGTCCAAAAACAGAGGGTGTTGATCTTCCATTCAGACTCTGTTGCGTTGTTACCTTATGTCTGGGAGGTTATCTAGAGACTGATCACATCTGGGGGGTCGTCCCATGCGTTGTCAGCCTCCAAGAATGAGTTTTCCAAGAGAGCCTGCATGAAAGTCAGAATCTGTGGGATACGCCACGCAAAGTTGGCCTTGAGACTTATTGTTGACATCCCACGGAGTTGGCTGTGTGACAGCCATACTAGGGATGAGTCATTTGATTTGGTCGCCTGCTAGACATAGTCAAAGAGAATGATGCCCAGATTTATCCCCGGGGGGAAGGGGTGGTCTGATCGCAGGGCCAGTCCCATAGCCGCTTTGTCTGAATTTTCTTTCAGAAGTAGCTTGGCCAATCGGACCACTTCCAGTTTCCCATAGGTCCCTCTCCACCCTTCCATTGTCAGGCCCACGAAAGTGTTGCCACCCTTTGTGCTCTGTTGACTGCATTCCGCTAGGTAGCCCTTCATTCTCATCCCCAAGTGCCAGTTTCCTGTGCGGGGTTCCTTCCTCAGTGGGAGAATGAGTACTCCCAGTACTTGCTCATAGGACTGGGGGTTCGGGCGGAAGCAGATGGGCGAATGAGTTCTCGTAATTTGCCTCTTGTGGCTGGTCTGCTTATGAGACCCGCCTCTTCTGGGCGAGACCCTGCAAGGATAAGCACCGATGTGTTTTGCAGTAGCTGGAGATTTTGTGAGGCTTCTGACTCCCTGCCTGTCTCTCCATCCGGAGTAGAGTCCTCTGATGCGGACGTACATGATCGGCCTTCTGTTTCTGATAGCAGGTCGATCACTTAAGTGGATAGGACTCCATCCTGATTGTCATGATTCGTTGGTCGCACTGGGGCTATGTGCAGCCCCGGGTTCAGAAGGTGTGTCGGGAGCTGCAATTCCCATGGGACAGGGGTGGTGGCCAACGCGGTGTGGTTGTTGTCCGTGTGGAGCACAACAGCCATTTCTTGAACGAGAACATGTGGCCAGTACTGATCGTCGAAAATGAAGGCAAGACCTGTGTCCTCCATTCGGGGGACTACCAGAGACCTTTCTGCCTGCGCTTGGGGTACGACGGACCAGACTTTGTCTATTATCAACCTTATGGTCATTACCTTATGGTCAGTATGATTTGCTGGCCGACTTGATGCCAATCCACCTCACTTGGGGCTTTGTAGTTGCCAACCACCCCCCAGATCCGTTTGTTCTTAAGGATATATTTGTGAATTTTCTCCCAATGCAACGGAGGGATCCGATCGTGGAGGGAAATTGAATCAGGGGATAGGGTTTTAAGGAGAATAGTCTACCATCTCCTTTAATTGTTTCTGCACCTTCCTATTGGACCACGTCAGATGTAGATTGTCATGGGGATGTGACTCGATTCGGTTGGGACCACCCAGTCTCCTTTGTGGAGGCATGGGCCTTGTTTGAGGATGCGCAACCAGGCTAAGGGAACAACGTCATAAAGTTGCTGCAGTTTCTCTTTGTACTTTTAAGCTGGGACCGTAGTTGCATTGCGGTTTTCCATGTGTTCAGTCTGATGTCCCACAGGTCTCTAATTGCAAAAATCCCTTTCTTTACACAGGACAACCAGTGTAATTCTTGTCGGATGGAAAATGGTTGTGGGGGTTCCCCAACCAAGGTTGTCTCCAGACTTCGTGCCATCTGATCGGGTACACAGTTTGTTTGGTCCTATGTCTCTTTACAAGGTCAGGAGCGAGGTCCACAAAGGGTCATTTGCCAAGTCCATCTTTGCAGCCTTCGTATTTGAGTGGTGTGCTCCCCTCCTTGGGACTGTTGGGATGGACCAGGCCGGGTTCGTGAACCACTGAAGGGGATGGATTGATTTGTTCACTGGCATCGAAGGGGCGAGCTTCGTTATTTGAATGTGAGCTAGCGGGACCCATGGGATATCATCTACCATAAGTAACCGGATGATGATTTTAAAGATAAGAGCTTTGATCTGGTCCCAAGGATCAATGATCGCAAGCCGCGCTTTGCTCCTTGGTTGAGCTACTTGGGCCCATGCCACCCTTTTGATGCATTTCCTGTGTTCCTGGTCGTTTGTCCACAGGTATGCTGCTATCGCCTCCGTGAGCTGCGTTAGTTGTTTGGGCTGAACTCTTCCTCTTCTGTTGGCCTTCGAGGTCATTCCATGTCATGGGGCCGTTACTTGGTCAATTCAATTAGGGTTTTGACTAGGACTAGGGAGGTGGTCGAGTTCCTTGCTCTGATGTAATTCCGTGGGGAAGAATTCGACCATCCAGGGGCCTGGGCTAATCCTTCCTCCTTCTTGGGGAAGCAATCAATGCTCAACCCTTAATCTCAATCTTCATCTTGCTGTACAGGGAAGTTGTCTCTATGGGAGCAGTGGTGAAGGCTCTTCTTGCCATAATGGGAAGAGGTGTGTGTCTGTGTTGTATTCCATATGATAGTATGAGCCTTGGGCACTAGGCCCCTGTTTTGTAAAAAAAAAGGACTCTCACAGACACAGACATTTCTAACCTACTGCAGTAAAAATACTTTTTTTTTTTTTCTTCTTATAAAAGCCCAGGGTGTTGTAGAGACCAAGGACCAGACCCATGGTGATTGCTGGTAGTGGCAGCCAATGGTTGTCCTGACAGGATAGGCCACCTACCCTACCCATCCCCATGTTAATACTCCCAACGCACCCCCTGTCCCTTCTATCCTACCTCAGTGTGAACAACACTCATGACCATCACCCTACCAGTATTAAGGGCAACTTGGACCAGACAGTAGTGACAAGCACGAGGGCTGGGCCAACCTCCCAACCCTAATGGAAGAGGAAGCGGACGAACCTTGCCATACAAGAACTTCGGACGCCAGGCTCATGCAATCTTCTACAGGCCCAATTCAGAGAGTCTACCCAGCAGGATTACCTAAGCAAGGCAGGTCAGCGCCCGTGGACACATCCTACCGTCCTTCCCCTAGCTTACCCAAGGCTAGGCGGAACTCAGACTAGCCGGAACGACTTATATCCCTACCCTGCCCTAGAGCTAAGCCATGTATGCGTAGACCCCGTCATATACCTAATAGACCCCCCCAGCCCGGTATTATAGTTGTGTGTATATGTGCGTGGCCACTGGCCAGAGGCTATGTATGTTTTGTATGGGCCCATAGGGCAATGTTTTTGTGTCTGCCCGAAGGCTATGCGTGCTCTGTGTAACTGAATAGCGAGATATGTGTGCCCTAAGGCCAGATATGTGCAGTACTATGTAGAGGGAACTATGTGTTCGTTGAAGAGATGACGGGCCATCTGGACAAGAACCCCCCCCCAAAGTCCCAAGCTAGACTTTAACCCGTGATCTATGACATGTGA